CCCAACAGAGGCTGATTATGCTAGACAGAGACCCCAAATTATAAAGATATTCACAAAGAACACAGGTTGCAACCTGATTCTTGCTGGACCTGTGAGCAGGAATGAGTCAGCAGCAGCGTCCAAGGGAGGAGGGAAGAGTGTTGCTAGAATGAATGTCAATCCTGCAGCTGGGCTGGATCCCTTGGTCATGACCTTGAGGCTCAAGGAATTGGCTCAGACAGTTCTGAACTGAGTAGCCATGTCACAGACAGCCTCCAGCCCAGCAGGATGCCTCTCTCTAACTCTGCGATCATGACACTGCTGTCTGCAGTAACCGTGCTGAGATGTCTCAAGACCAAATTTATCACGCCCGAGATTCCATTCTTACATAAGAATCACCTGTCGATCGTGCGTAAGTTTCAGCACCAACTGAGCCAAGGGTAATCAAGATTTAAAAGGAAGGGGCTGAATAAATATCAACCAGATTTCCTCTCTGTGGGGCTGAGTTTTGAAAAAATCTTTGTGCCCTCATGCGCCCCTCACAAGAGACTGTCATTTTTCTACTTTCGGGCTGCATCACTACTGTCAGGGGAAGGATGCTCTAGGAGCCACAGGCCATCTGTCTTCTTGGAGGTTCTCTTCAAGCTATGACCTCGGTTTGCTCCAGCTTCTGCCTATCCTCACGAGTTTCAGCTTGCCCTCATCATCAGCTAAATTAACCATAAAGCAAAGGCCTGACTCACATTAGCGAAGCCTGAAAGACATCAGTACAAGCCCGGAGCTACGCATCGCTGTATCAAAGGCCGAGGGCCTAGGAAGAAGTGTGGGAATGGCCCTCATATTTTTATAGCACTTGGGTAGTCTAGAAGAGTCCTTTAGCCCAAGACCTTGGAGGGGAGGTTCAAGTGTGTTCTTGGAGGGCAAAGAAAATGCCATTTGAAAGTGATAGAAGGAAGCAGAGTTGTTTAAGGAGTAGGGGGGGTTGGGATGGCAGGACCTAGGGCACAGGGCGTCTCCTAAACTAAAAAAAGCACCAGGAAAATTACCTACAGCTCTATTTGGCGAGATGTGAAAAAATTAAATTCAGGCTAAGAAATATCTGGGAAGGTTTGAATCTGTGACCCTGGGCAAATTGGTCCCTCCTCTGTGTTTCCATTTGTGAAATGGAGGAGCAGAATGAAGGCTTCTTCCTGCACTAGCATGCCATGACAGGAGGTAGAAGAAAAGGCCTTTGAAGCCAACATAATTACTCCTCTGTCCAGGGCAATGTAAACAACAATAACTCCAACAGCCTTCAGCCCTGCTTTTGAATGAGTTCTTTGCTTCTGTCTGAGAGGTAAAGTAGTTCATTCCTTGGGGAGAAGTTGAATGTGGCATGGTGGACCATGCCCTTTTCACTCCGGTTTCATTATGTTATTTTGAATTAAGACTAATACACAGAACATTCAGTATACGTTAACAAGGTTTTACTGAGTGTCCGCCATGCACCCAAAGCTGCAGTAGGTCCTCTAGGAAAGAGAAAAAGTGAGCAATGTGATCAGGGTCTTTGAGTATCTGGAGATCTTTCTCAGAGGCTCACATGTTCCATTTTAAGGCAAGCAGAAAACAAGTTGTTATATTTTAGAAGTCTAATTTTAAAAATAAATACCGCTTTTTTTTTTTAAAGATTTTATTTATTTATTTGAGAGAGAGAGAGAGAGAAGAAGCACATGAGAGGGGGGAGGGTCAGAGGGAGAAGCAGACTCCCTGCCGAGCAGGGAGCCCGATGCGGGACTCGATCCCAAGACTCTGGGATCATGACCTGAGCCGAAGGCAGTCGCTCAACCAACTGAGTCACCCAGGCGCCCCCGCTTCTTTTTTTTAATAGAAGCAAATGAGTTGGACCAGACTTATTTGTTTTTATGCCTTTACTAATACGTACTATTTATGCATTATTTATCTTGTTACGCATGTCTACAAGAAGCCTCACTTTGGCATTTCTAGATCTTACAGTAGCTTGAATTCTGATTGGATGCCTCTAGGTAAAACATAAAAGTCAATGAAAAAATTTGAATTTTCAAGCAAATGCATGCTTGTACATTTTGAAGTTCCACTCAAGTGCAATCTATATAATATGAAAGAAAACTAAATGAATCATTTTTTTGGAAATTGCTCTAATTCCCCTATGTGCACGTTGGGTAGTATTTTTTCACATCTATTGAACATGGATGCTGCCCCAGGTTAATTCCTAGCAATGGAGTGTTATCCTTTGGTGTGTACTTATTTCGCATATATTAGGTAGATGGTCAGTTATGTCATTTTCCCCAGACTATTTTGTTTTCCTCTGAAGTTTTCTAAGACAAATCACTAATCAATGTATTTCAAAAATATGCCTTGGGTGCAAAACAGAACTTTTCGGCAAGTAAAAATGTTTCAACTGAGGTCTTTCCAATGCAAATTATCTCTGTCATGACCTGAAAGTACTTGTCTTCACTTAGTATGCTTGTGTGCCTTCACTTACATGGGTTTAAACATACAAGAGTGATGTAAAGCATGGTATATCCATTAATGGACTTTGCCAGTCACATTACATATATCTAAGCAGTTTATAAGATGATGTACCAAGGGGGCGCCTGGGTGGCTCAGTTGGTTAAACGACTGCCTTCGGCTCAGGTCATGATCCTGGAGTCCCGGGATCGAGTCCCACATCGGGCTCCCTGCTCGGCAGGGAGTCTGCTTCTCCCTCTGACCCTCCTCCCTCTCATGCTCTCTGTCTCTCATTCTCTCTCTCTCAAATAAATAAATAAAATCTTAAAAAAAAAAAAAAAAGATGATGTACCAAGAATGAAAGTGTGATATTCTTACTTGAGAAATGATATACTATATTATTGCCATGTTTTTCTTTCAATAACCCAAAGCACTATTTCAGGACCCCAAGTATTCAGAATTGATTTGATTATACTCTTCTGTTCATGAAATGTCAAAGTACCTTTATATCCACTGTTTTTATGGTGAATGTGATGAGCTGAAAGGCAAATATTTAGGGCATTAACCATCCCAGTTTTCGTGGGACTGAAGAGTTTCCCAGGACATAGCACTCGCCATGGGAAAGCCCCAGCAAATAGGGTACAAACTGGTCATTCTGTGGGTGTTATAATTATCATTTGTAATTGGGGAAACTGAGGCACAGAACAGCAAAGTGCGTTGCTCAGTTTACCCAGCCAACTGGCAGAGATTCAGGACTCAGTCTTCTGTATTCCAGTGAGAGCACATTCACAACTAGGCACATCCCTGCCGTTTCCTCTATATCCTACTCTCACCTGGAACGGTAAGAAAACCAAGGTCATCTTTTGCCTTTTTTGTGTGCTACCATCCCAAATGGACCTAGGTTGAGATGCTGTGGGTACCAGTGAACTGGGCCCTTTATGAATTTCCCACATTATTCAAGAGGAGCAACATCGCCATCTGTGTTTTGAAGAGAATGACAGAGAGACAGAAGTTATAAATATCATACCTCTTAAAAGCAGAGCAAATACTAGTGTAAGTTCTGTCTGCCCCATAAGCCTCCTCTTAGGACTACCAACTACCTCCAGTCCTGACTGGGCCATATGTGTAATTTCATGAGACAAATCAACTTGAATGAACCTTAGGAAAGAATAACCCGGTGGCCACCTTTGGAACCACAACATGGTACTAAGCTACCATTTACAGAGGGCTCACTGTATGTTGGGTGCTGTGCTTAGAGCCTTGCTCGGATGTGGTCAGTTTAGCCTCACACTAATCCCATGCGGTAGTAACGAATGTCCCTATTTGACAGATAAGAAAAATGAGTCTGAGGCAGTTTAAGTGACTCATCCAATGTCACACAGCTGATAAAGGTTGGAAGTTGGATTTAAACCCAGGAAGTCTGACCCCAAAACTGGTGCTTTGACTCATCTACTATATCACTTTTAGTAACAGAGCTAAACGTCCCAGTTGCCAATGTCCAGTCTCTCAGATAGCTCTTGGCTAGGGCAGACCTAACACTGGCCCGGCTACACGTTCTGCAGATGCACAGAACTACCTGTTTAGGTCAAAGGGCATGAGGGTTGTTTTTTTTTTTTTTTAAGATTTTTAAAATTTATTTTAGAGAGAGAGTTCTTGAGCCAGGGGAAGAACAGCGGGAGAGAGACAAGCAGACTCCACGCTGAATGCAGAGCGTGATGCAGGACTCAATCCCAGGACCCTGAGATCATGACCTGAGTCGAAATCAAGAGTTAGACGCTCAACAGACTGAGCCACCCAGGCCCCTGGCTTTTTTTTTTTTTTTTTTTAATTTATTTGCTTGCGAGAGAGAGTGAGCAGGGGGAGGAGCAGAGGGAGAGGGACAAGCAGACTCTGTACTGAGTGCAAAGCCTGACTCGGGGCCCGATCTCACAACGCTGAGATCATGACCTGAGCCAAAATCAAGAGTTGGACGCTTAACTGAGCCACCCAGGTGCCTCAAGGCATGAGGCTTTCTGATCAAAAGTATTAAGGGAGCTGAAAGAAGAGATTTTAATCTGTTGGTTAATTCCAGAGTGAGAGAAATTGCCCTGCCAAGCTTCCGTTACTTCTTCTATACCTCTATTTCTCTCTCTCTGAAAAATGTAAACAACATGCCCTGGGCTTCTTTGAGAAATGAACTGGGTAAAATAAAGGGAATGCACTATGCAAACTGTAAAGTGCTTTATACAATTATCCCATATGTTGAGAAGCTTCCAAAATAGCAATTTCTTCCAATGCCCTTGCAAAGCAAATGAGACACAGCTGCTTGAACAGTCCACAAAGAGACAGAAATCCAGCTCTCTTAAACATTCAGGGGGGGAAACACACACCGTAAAATTACCCCAAAGATGAATTTTACAAGAACCACGGAAGTGTCATCAAGTTTTTCCATGGTTAATTCTAAAAGAGTGCCAGCATCGCAAAGATCAAACAAGGCAGTTCCTGCACAGAAACCTGGGGAAATGCAGGGCTTTAATGACAGTTGCATAATAGTTAGAAATATAAATGATACTCACATGAGCAGAATCGAGGAAGCCAAGTTTACTGGCTCTTCTCCATCTTTTCCAAGACAAGTCTGTTGGGGGAAAAAAAAAAGGACTTGTTCTAAACTAAACAAAAGGAGGACTTACAAAAAAAGAAACAAGGAAAGTAACGGGGGATGAGGTGTTTGCGGGATGCCACCGAGCATAGAGTGTGACAGGGCGCTTGTCAAGGGACAACAACAATTCAATGAGTTTGTTGAAAGAACTCGAATAAAATCAGCATTCGCTGTTGTGTCAGAATAAGATTACACCGCTAAAGAAAATGTTCAACAAGAATCTGGGGGGCTGGGATTTGGTGGAAGTTGCTTGGGGGTGGAGAACTCAGGGATGAGTCACAGAGTCCTCTGATGAAGTGGATGAAAGCTGGAGGAAGCCGGGTTTTGTCTCTGCCCTCTTCCTCTTTCTCTTCCTCTCTCTCGAGGGATTACAGGCTGTCTGCAATCAGCCAAAAGGGGCAAGGGAGCTGACCCGTGGGTATGAGAAATGGCCAAGCAAGCTTCACGTGTAGCATCATGTATAAAAGGTATATGCCGTTTAAGCAAGTCCTGAGATAGGAATGGGGATGGGGAGGAGGAAGTCTTTTGTGGGACCCTGGTGAGTTCAAGAGAATCATCGGTGCAGACGCCTGTCTCCCCGGGGGAAGAGCCCCTAGGTTATCAGAGAAGCAGGCTAAGCAGATTTTTTAAATTCTTTGGAGAAAAGAAAGTCACAGTTCCTCTTACTAAGTAATTTCTATCTTTATCAACCCTTTTACCATTAAGCTCTGTGCCTCAGTGAACAGCAGCTTCTCCTGTTCTCAACCAGTCCTTGCAGACATGAATGACCTTTTTTTTCCCTATTGAAAGTCTAAATCCGTCATATGGTTGTACATAGTTACTCTCATATTAAACTCATGATGGAAACCCAGGCAGTTCTCCCGCCCCTTCCCAAATGAGAACTTCCCATCTCCCACCTAGGTTATAGAAAGAAAAAACAAAACAAAACAAAACAATTTTGATGCTCTGGCATCATTTTTCCTATTTTAGGTGGCCACTTATAGATGGAGTGGGGAGTTTACATTTTCACATCTTAAGAAAAAAAATTTAAAGGGTTGAGAACTGGAGAGCTGATATTTCTACATTAACTTTTTTTCAAAATGTTTGTATTGATTTCTTTTTTGTTCTGGAATAAACTCAGGTATAAAATGTTACGCTGTATGTATTCATTATTTAATGAATTTATTGTATTTACATAATATTCATGAACAAAATATTATATTTGTAAGTTGTTCTGCCAGCCAAACTGTTCCCCTTCATTCATAAATGGAGCTTCTCAGTGTTAAACAACTGATTACCATGAATGAAGGAAGTGTTACATCTTTAGAATATTCTCCCAAAGCTGTTAAAACCAACCTACTACCATTTGGTTTTCCTCTTAAAAAAAGAAAGTTATTGTTCTTGATTTTCTTTTGTTCTGAATAGAAAATCTTAAAAATTCGGTTGGGTTTTCTTTTTTGTCGTTGCTTTTTTGTTTTTTCATTTTGGCATTCCTGTAGGAAGAGAGAGGGAACGTTCTTTTTTTCATCAACCAGAACAATACTAGTCTGAAACACAGCCAGCTTCTAAAGAAACTATATTATAGCTTTCAGGAATGGGAAGAGCTTTTTCTCTCATGGGACAGAAGGTGAGATTTTCCTGTTGTCTTCAATCTCTGTGAATACCAAAGCGTAAGCCCTTTCTAAATACATGTTCAGAGCCGTAAACTGAATTCCATGATGGATAGCAAAGTACACAGACTCCTTGATTCTGACCAAGCCAGCAACATGCACTTGAATTTGAGTTGGATTTAGATGAGCAATTCAGTGGTAGAATAGTAGTAGAAATGGGGCGCCCGGGTGGCTCAGTTGGTTGAGCGGCTGCCTTCGGCTCAGGTCATGATCCTGGAGTCCCGGGATCGAGTCCCACGTCGGGCTCCTTGCTCAGCGGGGAGTCTGCCTCTCTCTCTGACCCTCCCCCCCTCATGCTCTCTATCTCATTCTCTCTCTCAAATAAATAAATAAAATCTTAAAAAAAAAAAAAGAATAGTAGTAGAAAGAAGACTGTGGACTTAGGAGTCAAATCACATCGTGATCTTGGTGAGGATTTTGCTCTCTCACAGGCAGCTTGGTATTTTAATTTACTTAGCAATTTGCAGAGCTTGCCCATTGTAGCACTTCATGTCTCCCCAGTTCAATTTCCTCATCTACACAATTAACACAACTTACTGTGCAGGTCTATCATAAGGACCAAATAAAATGTATATTTCAGTTGCTTACTCCAGTGCCTTGGACATAATGCTGAGTGACTGTTTCTTATGATTCGGTCCTTAAATGGTTCCACTGCTAAACACCGGTCCTCAATAAAGTAATGTGGGGCTACAGTAATCTTCTGCCACCCCCTCCCCCTGCCAAAAAATACACAGCTAACTAGGAATATTCCCTTAATTTTGACAATTTTATTGTACCTTTCTTAAGGAACCACATCACCTTATACCTACCACATAATTTATTAGACATTTACCATGAACAATGTGCTGTAAGAAGCACTTTACATGGGCAATCTCATTTCATTTCCCCTACAATCCTCTGAGTTCAATGCTTGTTTTGCTTCAAACATACTTGGTTCACCAATATGAAGAACCCCCACTAAATATTTTTTAAACTATTTTATTATCATTGCAGAACATTTATGCGATGCCTTCTGAATTGAGTTTTGTAAATTTTGTTCAAGTAAAGCACTAAGATATAATTTATAATTTCAATCCTCCAGAAAGTGATATATATATATATATATATATATATATTTTTTTTTTTTTTACCCCAGAGGGGAAACATAATTTAGATTAAAGGGCCTACTATCTCTCTCTCTTTTTTTAATCATATGTGTGCTTCCTATCTCTGATTAAGTTTCGGAGCTTATCTTAAACAAGAATGGCCAAAACTCCTATTAATATCTGTTTAAGAACTGCGCCAATATCTTCAAAGTGCCAAATGACAACACTGACAAGATGGTAGAGGTCAGCCATCTTGTTGAAATGAAGAGCAAGAGATCACTGTAGAAGAATTCCCACGGAAATGATTCCACCCACATTCACCATCTACAAGATATTATAGACATTCATGCACACTGAATTGGCAAATAAAAATGTTGTATACAAACACCCCTAATTTTGAACAATTTTGAAGGTTAGTAGAGCAATGAAGAATGCCTGCTTGATCCTGAGACATTTACCAGGAAAAGAAGGGTTCCCTAGTTGAACAGCCATTACATCTCTATTTTCAAACCTCAGTCGAATCAGTTCATTTAGGAAAACTCCTAAAATGAAACATTTATTGCATACTTTTTATATTGTGTTTGGTTTTGTTTTATTTTTTGAATAAATATTTGTAGAGGCATATATTTGGGCTTTATTTTCTTTTGAATGATTTTTGACATTTTATGAGATAATGTTGCTTCTTACTTCTTGGAGAAAACTGAGGCATTCAAAAAGGATTTTGCACAGGGTCACAACACTCTATCTCCCTCTCCCACCAGCATTAGTACTCCTCAACAGGCCTGTTCCCGTGGATGAAAGTATCTGATTTCTCTAAAGCCAAGTCTTTCACTTGGATACTAGATGTTATGGCCATTTGCCAGCCCAACAAAATTGCTCAAGGAATTCTTCCTATCTTTCCCGAAACATTAGTTGTCCCTGTCTACTGGATCATTTCCATCAGTGCACAACCATATTGTTATTTCTCCCAACTCCTAACCAACACAAACACCACCACCACTACCAAACCCTCAGCTTGACCTCACTTTCTCCACCTGTTTCTATTCCATTTCTCTGCTTCCCTTGGCAGGAACTTCAAGAGCCAACTTTCCTCACTATTTCCAATTCTTCCTCTAGCATTCTGTCTTAAGCTACCTAAACCAGGCTTTAACCATTACCACCGCACAGATACATTCTCATTAAGGTCACTGATGATCTCTAGTTGTGAAATTCAATGGTAGATTGTCAGTCTTCATCTTACTTGATGGATCATCAGCATCTGGCACTATTTTTCATGCTCCTCTACTCGATACACTTCATTCTCCTGGTTTTTAGGACATTATACCCCCTACTTTTCCTCCTACCTTGATGGCCACTCTGTCTCCATCTTGCCTTGTGATTCCTTTTTTTTCCTTGTTGATCTTTTAACGCTGGAGATGCCCAGGCTTGAGTCCTGGCCTTCACTACTTTATCCATACCCATTCACTAATAATCTCGTTGAGCCTCACAGCTTTTAATACCAACATGCTGACAACTCCATCTGTAGCCCAGATGTACTCAATATATTCTCATAAGCCCCACATGCACATGATCAACAACCATTTTGACACCTCCAATCAGGTGTCTAATAGTCATGGCAAACTCACTATGTCCAAAACCCAAATCCCAGTATGCCCCATAGGCCTGTTCTTCTTGCAGCCTTTTACATCTCAATTGATAGCAATTTCATTTTTCTAGTCCCTCAGGCCAAAACCTTGATTCCTTTTTCTCTAACATTCCACATCCAATCTGTCATGAAATCCTGTTGAACTCTACTTTCAAAAATATATGCAGAATTGAACTACGCATCACCCCTACTGACCAATCCATGGACCAAGTCACATCATCTCTGCTGGGGTTACTGGCATTTCTCATTCTCTTAGCGTCTATCCTTGCCTTGCTCAGTCTATTCTAATACAACATTCAGACAGATCCTTCTTTGAAAGTCAATACCTTGCAGTGATTCCCATTTCACTCAGATGAAAGCCAACATCTTTTCCAGTGACCTACAAAAGCCTTGCTTATATGGTCTTGACTTTGCTTCTCTTACCTCTCAGATCTACTACTACTTTCCCTTCACACATTTTGCCCACTGGCCTCTTTGCTATTCTGTATGTATGTCAGGCAAGCTCCTGCCTTTTGGCCTTTGCATCGGTGGTTCTCTTTGTCTGTGATACTCTTCCCCAGATATATACATGCTTGTAGTGTTACCTGGGGGATCTGT